TTAAAATAAAGGTCTTTCGCAATGGCGGGAGCTATCACGTGAATAAAAATGGTTCATGGGCTCCAAAAGTATAGAAGTAGTTCAACAGTACAAATACTTAGGAATAGCTATCACGTCTACTACGTATCACGTAAAACTACTAGGATTCTTTCTTAAAAAAATATTTAAATTACCAAAGTATACTCCAACAAATTGTATTCACTTAAATCATTCTGACTGTGATGATGTTAAACTATGGAGAGTTAATTTATCTTTACTAAAATTCAAATTCAGAAAGATATATATATATATATATATATATATATATATATATATATATATATATAAAATCAATATGCATTTAAAGTTCATAATTTTAAAATCTTTTCTTTTTATCCTCATTTAACTTCAGTACATTATATTGATGACAAAAGCTCATCAGATGGGTAATTAAAATCAGGGGTGATGTTTTTATCTTAAATAAAAAGAGTAAAGTGTCATGGCCGCAACTGCAGTATAACGTTTATGTCGCTCTGTGATTGTTACTTTGATATGTGTTTAATAGTTAAAACTCTGTGGTAATAATTTATCAACAGTGACTTTATAGACAGTTGAGCATTTTTACGTTCACAGATACACAGGTGAGTCACGATTTATTAACAATGAACATGTGATAAATTGGTCCTCGTTTGGGTAGCCCAAGTGGCCGTTAATTCCCTTACCGTTCTTATCTTATCTGGCTCTCTCTCGTCAGCTGGTCTCTGTTCGAAACCAAAGACATAGCATTTCATTTTTTTTTTCTCTTTCAATTATGTTTTTTCTCAGAAATGTTTTGTTTCTAAGTTTGTAAATAGTGTATTTTTTAAAGTATTTATTTTGTAACCATTTATTTTTGTAATTGTAATATTTGGCTATATATATATATATATATATATATATATATATATATATCTTATCATTAAAATGGAAGATATGAGTTTGGACAAGAACTCTTCATGCAAAGATACAGATGACGAGACACCATTTTTAGATGTTAGCGAAATTGACTCGCAATGTCTTAAAAGACGCTCACTTCAAAAACAGCACCGAAACTCTGCCCCTGGGTCAGCGGGCCACTCACCCAATAAGAAAAAAAATAAATTGACAAAAAATAAATTGTCAGCCGAGCAAAATAAATCACCACCCAAGACTGGAAGCCATTCAAATACCTCAAAATCAGCACAAACTGCACCTAAGCCAGCAAAAATTCTGTTCCTGTTAGTAACTCATCTAAGAAGCCTCCGGAACCTCAAGGTTTTACTGAGCCCGAGCCGCCACCTATTCCAAAATTGATAACTTCATACCATTTGGTCAAGAAATTGCCGATCTGATAGGCCAGACAAATTTTTGTTGTTTCTCCAGGGTAAACGACATCAAAATCAACACAAACTCTAGAGATAGTTATAAAACACTAATAAACTACTTCTCATCTAAAAACTAGAATTTTCACTGTTATCAGTGAAGACAAGAAAAGCCATATCGAGTGGTCTTGAGAGGCCTGCATTCAACCACCCCTATACTCTTTATCAAGTCCGGCCTAGAAGAAATAGGGCACAACGTTAGGCTCATATCTTGTGTGCTACACCCAGCCCAGAAATATCCGTTACCTTTATTCTTCGTTGATTTAGAGCCTGCTAATAATAACCCCGAGATATTTCAAGTTAACCGGCTTATATATTCAACAGTTATAAGTGCCTGGACATAAACCAGTGATCGTGCTATGCACGAAGTGTCAAGAACTGGGTTACACAAAGACCATCATCAGGCCAGGTGCGTAAAATGTGCCGAGTTACACGCATCTGACACTTGTCAGAAACCTCTAGACCAGCCTCCTAAATGTGCTCTATGCGACGAAGATCATCCGGCAAGCTACAAAGGATTCATAGTCTACAAAAATCATTACAAGCTGATCTCACGGAACATAGCGTTAAAAGCCTTAAACTGAATAATGAAAGTTACACCTAGCCACCAGAAATTGAAAATATTTAAAAAAAAAAATTACTAATGTTACCCATCAAGAACTGTCTACTTCAACTGACATCAACCGTGCTCATCAGGCTTCCAGCAAATCGTACAACAAAAGCACCATCAAGAAGCAGCAGCTTCAACGCCAGGCGCCCAATCCAAACCTCGTACTTTCAATCCTCAATCTCATCCTCCGCGTCCGCAAATTCCCCCACATCATCTACCGTTACGAGTTAAATTTCGGCCAAAGCATTCTCATCCATCTCATCCTAATATCCAGAAAAAAAGAAGCACAAGTACCGTCGAATCCAGACCCACCTCGCACACAACGACGGATCCCACCATCAGTTAACACTCCTTACCCAAAACAAGAACCTATCGTAATCTACTTCACAGCCAACATTCATCTGACATAACTTCCATACTATCATTCTTCCTATTGGACCTCCAAAACACTATAAAACCCCTTATCACTCTACTTACCAGAATCCTGACCGAAATTCCGTTTAATTCCCCTCAATAAGCACTAAGCTCCCAACTATCCTTTTATGGAACGCTAACGGACTACACAACCACCGAGACGAACTTGGCATATTTCTTCATGACATTTCACTAAACGGACATATTTTCACATACGAGACTACATCACTTATAGCTCTGACCACCCAGACAACACTTCCCACGCCGGTTCTTGCATCCCTTTTGAACACAAATCTTTACCCCATTCCCTTATTCCTTTCACTACAACTGATGCCATTCAATCAACATCTGTAATCCTTTCAATTCGCCCTTTCCGTATCGCATTTTCAGCTGTATACTGTCCTCCTGGTAATTCCCTCTCATATAACCTCCTTGATTCCTTATTCCAATTCCTCGGATCACGCTTTATTGCTGTAGGAGATTACATTGCTCTACTGATTGAAACTCACTTTTACATCTGTGACTACTTCACTCATAGATCTGACCACCCCTACAACACCTCCTACGCCGGTTCTTGCATCCTTATTCATAAATCTTTACCCCATTCCCTTATTCCTTCCATTTCAACTGATGCCATTCAATCAACTTCTGTAGTCCTTTCAACTCGCCTTTCCCATCTCACATTCTCTGCTGTATACTGTCCTTCTGGTAATTCCATACCTCCTTGATTCCTTATTCCAATCCCTCGGATCGGGCTTTATTGCTGGAGAAGACTACAAGACTACAATGCTAAACACCAAAGATGGGGTTGTCGAACATCCAACTCCTGCGGTAACATCCTTTCACGTGTCTCATCTTCCAACAGTGATTCAACCCTCTCGCCCATGAATCCTACATATTGGCCAACATACCTTAAAAAACGTCCCGATATCCTGGATATATTTATGACATCCCAGATTTCTCCCTCCCAAACCATAATCAACTCCCTGGACGACCTTTCCTCAGACCATAGTCCAGTTCTGCTTTCAATACATTCAAACTTTGCTCCTAAACCATCACCTCCTAAATTGATTACACTGGGACAAATGGAATGTACTGCATGGAATGTTCTTGATGTAGAACAGGCTTTTGATCGAATCTGGCACCCTGCTTACAAACTACGTAAATTCCTAGATCATACATACTTCCTCATTATTCGTTCCTACTTAACTGATAGATACTTCAAAGTAAATCACAATAATGTTTATTCATCCCTCCTTTCCCAGTCCGCTGGTGTTCCTCAAGGTAGTATTCCAGGTTATATCATTTACACAGTTTATACAACTGACATCCCAACACTGTCGTCACCCCGTATACCGATGATACATGTGTCCTATCAGTTAATAATGATCCAATAATTGCATCCCAAAATTTCCAATCACACATTACAAACGTCGAAGAATGGTGTAAATTGGAGGATTAAAATTAATTCCAATAAATACCGGCAAATCACCTTTTACCTTGTCGTAAACCTATGACTTCCTGTCCTTCAGTATCTTAAATAATACCCCGCTTATCCCTGTTGAACAAATCCGGTATCTTGGACTCCACATGGACAAACGTCTAGCTTGGAGTCCTCATACCAGACTGAAATGACAAGAAACCGCTTGACATTCCGACTACTTCATCACTTACTAGAAAAACGCTCTAAGCTACCAGTTAATTAACAAAAGACTCGTATATATGACTACAATAAGACCTGTCTGGACATACGGACTAGAGATTTGGGGGTCCCCAAAGCCATCGAATTCCTCACGCATCCAACCCTTATAATCCGAAATCCTTCGTAAAATCCTCAATGCTCCTTACTTCGTCACTAATAAAATCACCCATAAAGACCTTAATGTTCCTTATGTTTCCGAATTGGCCCAATCAAGATACCTATCCTTCCATAATAAACTTCAGAACCATCCAAAACCTCTCGTTTCTAATTTTACTCCCTATTCGATCCCTGATAACCCTCCGAGGCATCTGAAAAGAAATGGCCTCGAGATCTTCTATTATAAATACATTTTTTTTAGAGTGCTACCAGTGGGTAGTTTCTCAACAAGTGTTTTAATGTTTTCGTTTTCTGTTATCACATTTACTTAATATATTTTTTCTTAATACAGTTGTATCCTAATAAATATCCTAAACAACATTTATTAAATTGTGACAAAAAAAATATTGATAAGAAAATTGTATTATATTTGTGAAATCGCTTTCAATTTCCACGCCAGATAAATTTCTTATTTAAAAAAGTATTTCTCAAAAATCATTATCATTGTTAATCTTGAAAATTTTGATAAAAAATAATGATTAGGATATGATTTTTATCACTCATGATGAAAATTAAAAATCGATATAGCAATTCACTGAAAAAATTATTGTATAGGGTGTTTCCTAGTACACTATATTTTCAAAACACAAAATTATTGGATTTTTTCACCAAAACAAAATCTAAATAATAAAAAAAATATATAAAGAATATATTTTTGTTAAAAATAACAATTTAACTAATATTTGCCCAGGTATGACTCTAAGACTTTAAAATTTATAGAAAACCATTTGGTTCCAGCATGCTGCTGAGCCTTCCAGCTTTTTTTACTTCGTTCTTCTCTGCTGTGAACCTTTACTATCCCGAGATTATCGATCCAAATCTGAAACCAGCTGATACACCACAATCTGAGCTAGATCCGGAGTATGACTTCATAATTGTGGGGGCAGGCTCTGCCGGTAAGAATGATCTCTAACAAATATGACCTGCAAACTAGCTTGGTTAATTTCATTGCAGTTATATTTTGATTCTAGGTTGTGTCTTGGCAAGCAGATTGACGGAGAATCCTGCCTGGAAGGTTCTTCTCATTGAAGCTGGAGGAGACGAAGATGCGATTACAAGTACACCATTTTTGACCGTTTTCTTGCAAAATACAGAAAAGGACTGGAATTACACAACTGTGCGACAAAAAAATGCCTGTTTAAGTAAAGATGATTATTTTCTCTCTTAATCCTTATATGATAAACTAAGAGTAAGGATAAAGATAATAATATTATAGATATAAGATCAGATATTATTTAATTCGGTCATGTCGCAGAAATTCGAAAAATCTCCAGAAATCTTAAATTGAGAATATACAATGCTATGATAAAGCCATTTCTGATATAAGGCAACGAGAACTCTACTCTAGAGAGAAGTACTGAAAGATTTGAAAGAAAAACTCTCCGCACGATAACCGGTGCGATCTGGGATCACAGAGCTAACGCATGGAGCAGAAAGACCAATAAACAACTGCATTAAGAAACTTCTTCTTCTATTGGCACAACAGACACATATAACTGTCCTTCGCCTGTTCAACCAGTCTTTCCCACTATATCTTCTGCCATGGTGATACATATTCCCAGCTTTCTTAGGTCACTGCTTATACTGTCCCGCCATCTAGTTTTTGGTCTTCCTCTTGAGCGCACTCAACCTAGATCGTACATTTGTAGTTATTTGGCTGCTTTGTTTTATCCATCCTGTGGACATAGCCCAGATATTCAGACGCTAATCATTTACAAACACAGAAGCTGCTAGTTCCTGGTAGAGCTGATATCCTTCCTTGTTTGTCCTTATCCTCGTCATTTCCGAACTCTTGAACTGATCTGAAGATTCGTCTAAGGACTTTTCTTTCAAGCTTCAATATTTTTCAGCGGCAGTGTTATTACTCGTCCATGTTTCACATCCATACGTTGTTATAGGTCTATCAAGTTGTACAGCCCAATCTTAGTGGTCCTGCTCAGCAATCTACTTCTGGATAGTTTGAATAGAGCAAAGTATGTTTTATTTCCCAAAACTAATCCTGCTCTTATCACCTCATCTTCAGTTTTCTTCGAAATATTGGGGTAGGGTGAAACGATATTCTTGCTCCCTATCTATTTTTATTTGGGTTATTTTTATTCAGGCTTCCGAAGTCTGCGTCTATGACTTCTTCTCCTGTGACCAATACCTCTTCTTTATCATCCTTAACCGATGTACTTTGGTTCCTATACCCTAAAAGGCGAGGAAGGGATGAAGAAACAAAAAGGTTACTATACCTATTCTTTGAGCTAGTAATATTTCTTTACATTTTCCTTGATTCGTTATTTCTTCTTCTTCCCTCAGATGGCCTCCAGGCTTCCGTAGTCCTTTATTCGCATATCAGTTGGAGAGGGCTAGATCAGACTCCTTTACTGGAAATCGATGTTGCACGTTAGCAGGACACCTTTTTCATTGTTTCTTTATTTTTTCTGGACGATTCAATTTCCTCCATTCCTTATAGTAAGGCTTTCTGCTTCTTTATTATTACTGTTTTCTCGGCGTAAGCTCTTGCATTTGGATATTCCTTTTTAACAACTGCAACCTTACCATGTTCCGCTCCTTGATAGCTACCGCACATTCTGCGTCAAACCAGACATTGCGCCTTGTTTTTGTGCTTCTTTGGGCAGATTTCTTTTGCTGCTTTTATATCATGCCGCCTTGTTTCGATTGAGCTTCATCGTCTGTCAAAAGAGTTCATTTACCTTTTGCTAGTATTGGGTACATATCATAAAGAATTTCTTGATCATTACGCAGCTGATCTTTAATAAAGACAAATAATAATCAATGAAAATAGAACAAGTTCAAATGCGAAACCAAAAAAAAAAAAAAACCAAAATGTTAATAATTTTATGATTTATTAAAAACAATATGGTTATATTCAGAAACATTGTAAAATCTGTTTTTATTTTATAAATTATACTTTATTTTATAAATAAAATTTAACGTGTAATGATTTAACTTATACTTTAATTTAATGTCATAAATTTTATATAAAATTAATATAAGTAAATTTTTCTTCTTTCTAGGCACAGATGGAATATGCAGTTACCCTCGGGGAAGAGTGATGGGCGGTAGTAGTTCTCTTAATTACATGCTTTACGTAAGAGGGAATAAAGAAGACTACGATAGTTGGGAAAGACACGGAAATCCTGGATGGAGCTATGAGGAAGTACTGCCGTACTTTATAAAATCAGAAAACAATAGGATACCATATCTACGTTCTTCTCCACATCATGGAACATCGGGTCCACTAAGCGTTCAACAAGGGCGTTACCAGAACGGGTTAGCCAGAGATTTCATCAAGGCTTCTGAAGAGATTGGATTTCATTTTGGTGACTACAATAACGGAAATCAAAGAAACATCGTCGGTGACGTGCAATTCACCATCAAAGGTCCTCTGAGACATAGCACATCCAGTGCTTTCTTAAATCCGAACAAAAATAGAGAAAACTTAAAGGTTATCAAGAGATCGCAAGTCAAAAAAATTTTGATACAAAAAAATGTTGCCAAAGGCGTAGAGTATGTCAGGAATGGGAAAACCGAACATACTTACGCCAAAGAGATAATTTTGTCAGCTGGAGCCATAGATACACCGAAACTTCTTATGCTTTCAGGAATAGGCCCAAAAGAGGATCTCGAAAAACATGGTATTCCAGTCAACAGAAACCTTCCCGTCGGAGAGTCATTCAGAGATCATATCATCTTCAGTTTATTTTTTGAGATGGATAACGTTACAACGCACACTCCTGATGTTTGGAGGACAGAAGAAAGTATTATCGAATTCACAAAAGAGAAACAAGGACCTCTCTCTAGTATGATTATTGAAGTCACTTCTTTTTTTAATCCATTTAAAAAGGAATCCCCTCCAACGATTCAGCTAATGTACGGCACTGGATACGCAGATGTGTTAACAGGATCAGATAAGAACTTGCTTTGGGCTGTGGTTGGTTTACTCAAGCCCAAGAGTGTGGGAACCTTGAAACTGAACGGCAGTGACTATAGAAATCCTCCATTGATTGATCCCAATTATCTTGCTGAAAAAGATGACGTTGAACATGTTAGAAAAGGAATTGAAAAGATTTTCGAATTTACTAAAAGCCCCGCGATGAAGAAATATTCTCCTCAATTAATCACTGAGTTTCAACCTGAATGTAAGGATAAGTCAGAAAAGCAATTCATAGACTGTATTATATCGTATTACTCCTCCAGTTATTTCCACCCAGTAGGAACAGCTCGCATGGGTCCCACCTGTGATAAGCGTTCCGTTGTCAGTTCTAGAGATCTGAAAGTGCTGGGCTTTGAGAATCTGAGGGTTGTTGACGCTTCCATTATGCCAGACCTTCCGTCAGCAAATACCAACGCCCCGACAATCATGATTGCAGAAAAGGCTGCTGATATTATCAAACGGAATGACAACGACCTCGCACCTCGTCTAGACCATAGTGACACCTGTTCTTCCTAGGAACTCTCAATGAATCTGTTAATTTTAATCTTTTTTAAAACTTAGATATTTATTTTTTTACTTTTATCAGTTGCGAGAAATAGATGTGATGTCTTCGAATTACAAATCATTATGAAAAACGTTAAAGAATTGAGTCACAAGAATTTAATTAAAATTTCTTATGAATTTCTTTTAATTTTTAAATCTTCAGCAACATTTATATAATTGTTATTATTTAAAGTCATCAAATTTAAAAACAATTTACTCAGTTATTCAAAGAAGTAGGTAAGAATTAGAAGAAAGTAGCTCACTCTGAGAGGGCTAGAGGTTTTCGTCCACTTCTGTGGTTAAGATTGGAACCTAGCATGCTGAAGATTTCATTGATGTGAGGTCAAGATTGGAACCCAACATCTTTAAGAGTTCAATGCCAATCACATAACCTTTGAGGACAAAGCAAACTCCATTATTGAAGTGACAACTATATATGACTGAATATCAGCTGGCTGACTGACGCAATTATAGATTACCCTGTCACAAACAACCGTTAGGAAGATCACAACAGTCATTACGAACAGTAAAAAATGCTACCTATGTTTGAGGCGAAAGAGATGTTAAATTGATGGAATAATATTATGAATAATTATTTAATTATCTTTGTTGTTTCTTCTTCGATTTTAATAAATTGCTAAACAATTTTTTATTCTTTATTACTTCCTAACTTTTGTTATAAAGTAAACAACCCCAAAAAATTGGCAAGTCTATAATTGTTATTATTATCATGAAAATGTATTAATCCAAATAAATGTTGACAATCATTATAATAAATAATCTCTCTCGTAATCGACATATTTTCTCCAGGTCCATTGAAACGGAAGATTTTTATTCCTTTAAAATAAAAATAAGTTCCTGGAGCCAGCCGGTTACGCACACAATTCCCAACCTTCGTATCAGCTGCAAAACTCCTAAACCTCGTTTCAATGGTTCGGACATGCAAAGACTCATTATTATGACTATTATCCATAATTTAATATTATTTATTTATTTTGATATTCACGTGTTATTTATTTTATTGCTTGTTTTTATTGAAATTATAATTATAATTTATGTATATAATTATTCGTTATATGCATCATTATTTATATTTATTACTTTTTCATATATATTTTTTTTAATCTTATTTATTGAAAAATATTACAATCAGTCTCAAGGACATTTATAATAGTGTTCACAGATCACATTCACACTCTATGTACAGTAAATAAAATAAATTATACAGAAAAATAACATATATACAATAAATAAGAATAAAATAACCTAAAAATAAATGAATAAAAAGAACACATACATACCTATAAACAATAACTTTTTCATATTATATTATATTATATTATATTCATTTTTTTTAATTTAAAAGACTTACAAGATATTTTTTGAATTGCCATAAACCTTATCTTTATTCAGCTATTATTTTTTATTTTTTATTATTTATTTAAATGATATTTACAACTGTATACAAAAAATACATCTGGTAAATTCGCACATTGGTATAAAGACATGGAACACATGTTGAGAAACTACCCATTGGTAGCACTCTAATAATATGTCTATATTAGAAGATCACGTGGCCAACTTCTTTTCAGACGCCTCGGAGGGTTATCAGGAATCGAATAGGAAGCAAGGTTAGAGACAAGAGGGTTGGGATGGTTATGAAGTTTATTATGGAAGGACAGATATCTGGATTGGGCCAAATCTGATACATAAGGAACATTAAGGTCATTATGGATAATTTTATTTGTAACAAAGTAAGGAGCATTGAGGATTTTACGAAGGATTTTGGATTGCAAGGACTGTATGCGAGAGGAATTTGAAGGCTTGGTGGAGCCCCATAGCTCAAACCCCTAAGTCCAAATAGGCCTTATTATAGTCATGTAAATCAGTCTTTTATAATTGATTGGAAGGTTAGAGCGTTTGTCTAGTAAGTGTTGAAGTAGTCGGAAACGTCGAGCTGTTTCTTGTCGTTTCAGTCTGGTATGAGGATTCCAAGTTAGACGTTTGTCCAGATGGAGTCCTAGGTAACGGATTTGTTCAACAGGAATAAGTGAGGTGTTGTTAAAGGATACTGAAGGACAGGAAGTCATTGGATTACGACGAAGTGTGAAGGTTAGTGCAGACTGGGAAAAACGGGATGTATATACATTGTTGTGATTTACTTTAAAGTATCTATCAGTAAGGTAGGAACGGATAATGAGGAAGTAGGTAGATGGTAGGAATTTTCGGAGTTTGTACAGCAGTCCCGGGTGCCAAACTAAACGCCTGTTCAACATCGAGAAAGGCTCCCGTACAGTACATACCGCGCTTCAATGCAGAGAATACTACGTCTACCACACGATGGCATTGCTGTATAGTGGAATGGGAGGAGCGGAATCCAAATTGGTGATCTGGGATTATGTGATTAGAATATAGGATTGGATACAGGCGTTTTAAGATTAGTTTTTCTAGGATTTTTCCCATGATGGGTAACAGAGAGATGGGACGGTAAGAGGATGGATATTCTGGTGGCTTTTTGGGTTTGTGGATCATTTTGACAATAGATATTTTCCAAGGATCAGGGAAATATGTGGATCGGAGTACAGCATTTTATATGAAAGTAAGGAATAGGATGGCTTTTCGAGGAAGAAGTTTCAAGATCTGGGATGTTATTAGGTCATGTCCAGAAGCTTTGCAGGAGGGTAATCTTTGAATGATGTTGGATATTTCTGTGGGATGAAATGCTTTAGGTGGAAGGGACATTTGGAGAGGAGTATCCAGTTCTGATTCAATACATTCGATGTGGGTTGGATTAAGGATATCAGGATGTGGGTTGAATATTTGGAACAGATGTTGACCGAATAACTGGGCTTTTTCTTCGTCGGATTTGGACCATGTTTGGGATTCAGTAAGAAGTGGGTGATTAAAGTCTTTAAACTTCAGAAGTTTTTTGGTTGTAGTCCATAGTGATTTGTCAGTTGTAATATTTTCAGTTAGGTTCAGTAATTGTTGAGTTTTATATTTTGTTATAGTTTGTTAGTCAATTCGGTATAGTACGTTTTGTCTGAAGGATATCTAGTCCTGTGCCACTTCGATCTTGCTCTGCGTTTATCCCTTAATAAGATTCGAATATGCTGTGGCAAGTTAGTATGTCTTAAATTATTGCTTTTATTATTAAGAAATGTGTTATTATTTATACTCGTTGTTATAGTTGTATTAAGGTTTTCTATGGCATTATCAATATGTTGTTTTGTCTTAAGGGGAATTTTTAAGTCCAGTTTATCTTCCAGATCATGACGAAATTTGTCCCAGTCCACTCGTCCTGTAATTAGTTTAGGAGGTGTAGGTTTAAGAGCAAAGTTCGAATGCAGTAAAAGCAAAACTGGACTATGGTCTGACGAAAGGTCATCCAGGGATTTGATAATGGATTGGGAGGAGGAAATCTGGGAGATGATAAATATATCCAGGATATCGGGACGTTTTTTCAGAGATGTAGGCCAATATGTAGGATTCATGGGTAAGAGGATTGAATAACTGTTGGAAGAAGAGACACGTGATAGGATGCTACCGCGGGAGTTGGATGTTCGACAACCCCATCGTTGGTGTTTAGCATTGTAGTCTCCTCCAGCAATAAAGCGCGCTCCGAGGGATTGAAATAAGGAATCAAGTAGGCTATAAGAGAGGGAATTACCAGGAGGACAGTATACAGCTGAAAGTGTTAGATGGAAAGGATGAGTTGAAAGGATTATAGAAGTTGATTGAATGGCATCAGTTGGAGTAGAAGGGATAAGGGAATGCGATAGAGATTTATGTATAAGGATGCAAGAGCCAGCGTGGGAAGTGTTGTCTGGATGGTCAGATCTATAAGTGATGTAGTCACGTATGTAGAATTGTGTCCGTTGAGTGAAGTGAGTTTCTGTCAGGAGAGCAATGTCAATATAATTGTCATGGAGAAATATGTCTAGTTCGTAACGGTGGTTTTGTAGTCCGTTAGCGTTCCATAAGAGGATAGCTAGGGGCTTTGTATTCATCGGAAGTTAAACGGGATTTCGGAAAGGAGTCTTGTGAGAAGAGTTATAAGCGGTTTGATAGTCTGTTGAAGATCTATCAGGAATGATGATAGGATAGAGTTGATATCGGATGATGTTTGGCTGGGAAGTGGATTTAGGTCGTGAGGTTGTGATGAGTAATCTATGCGAATAGGATTGCTGGGTGGAGGATGGGGGGTACGAGGAGTAGGATCTAAATTCTGTTGGACTTGTGATGGGAGGTTCATCTTGGGAGTAGGAACGAGTGGAGCTGGGTGTGGGTGCTCTGGCGGGAGTTTGACCCTTAAGGTTAGCTGATGGGGAGGGATTGGCTGACGAGGCTGTTGAGGTTGAGTATTACAGCTTTTGGGCTTGGATTGGGAGGTTTGAGGTGCCTGACTTTGAGGCTGCTTCTTAATGATGCAAGGCTGCCTTTGAGAATTTTTTGAATTCTGTTGAGGATAATCCTTAAGTGTAGAGATGGATGGTTGTTGTTGGACGGCGATGGAAGGTGAAGTCGGCAAAGCTGGGAAAGTTTCCTGATTTTCAATTTCAGGTGGCTCAGGACAAGTTTTTTGAGCAGGTCCAAGGGTTTTCGTCGCTAAGTTGCGTGATCTCTGTTTGTGGAGATTTTTATATACCTCACAACCTCTATAGCTTGCAGGGTGGACTTCACCACAAAGAGCACATGTAGCGGGCTCATCTTTTGGCCTCTGGCAAGTGCCTGAAGCGTGAAAACCGGCGCATTTAACACATCTGGCCTCGTGATGGCAATATGTCTTCGTATGCCCTAAGTTCAGCTATTATTAAATTACGTTTTTATCTGGCTTTTACATTCATATGTAAATTTGGTCATCTTCAGTAGTCTATCTACTGATATATTTTATTTTGGATTTTAACATTATGATATACCTCCTACGCCGAAATCATTTTTAGTTTGTTTATTTTCCCTAAACTGTTTATATT